TCGATAAACCTGCGATAATAGCCAGATAGACCGAGAAAACTATGAACCTCGGACGGACTCTTCAGTGTCGACTAGTTCTGAACAGCTGAGACCTTAGAAGGATCCACCTCGATACCTGCCTGAGTAATCACATGACCCAGAAAAGCTACTCGCTGGAGCCAGAACTCGCATTTGGAGAATTTGGTATATAACTTTTCTCGTCTGAGGGTTTCGAGAACCACCCTCAGATGCTTCTCGTGCTCCTTCTGGCTCTTCGAGTAGATAAGAATATCATCAATAAAGACAATAACAAACTGATCGAGGTAGGGATGGAAAATACGATTCATCAGGTCCATGAAAACCGCTGGAGCATTACTGAGGCCGAATGGCATGACAACGAACTCGTAATGGCCGTAACGAGTCCTGAAAGCGGTCTTAGCAATATCTGACTCTTTAATCTTCAGCTGGTGGTAGCCTGATCGTAAATCAATCTTTGAAAACACACAGGCTCCCCTCAACTGATCAAATAAGTCGTCGATCCTGGGAAGCGGATACTTGTTCTTGATCGTCAACCGGTTAAGATCCCGGTAGTCGATACACATGCGCATAGATTCGTCCTTCTTCTTGACAAAGAGAATGGGTTCTCCCCAAGGTGACACGCTCAGTCGGATGAAACCGAGTCGCAATAGCTCCTGAATCTGCGCCTTAAGCTCCTGCAACTCCTTCGGCGCCATACGGTATGGGGCTTTGGATACTGGGCCGGCTCCTGGAATGAGGTCAATAGAGAACTCCACCTGCCGGTTAGGTGGTCCTCCTGGAAGCTCGTCTGGGAACACGTCCACAAACTCACGAACAACTGGAACATCGTGAGGTGACCGTGCTTTCTGAGAATCATCGACAAGGCTCACCAGATAACCCTGGCAGTTGCCTCGTCGCAGCAACTTGGTAGCTTTCGCCTTTGAAACGACATGAGATAATGAACGATTTCTGGTGCCAAAGAAGGTAATCGAGTCATCTCCCAGAAGATGGAGAGTAATCTCCCGGTCATGACATCGAATATCTGCATGATAAAAGGATAGCCAATCCATCCCGAGAATGAGGTCGAAGTCCCTCATCTCAAGAACATACGCATCGATAGACAATGAACGACCACCGATGGAAAGGCTGAGAACTGAAGCTTTAGCTGAGGTCACTATCTTTCTTCCCGAGGCTAGACTCACCTCGAGAGGATCGACAGCGGTAATCGCATGAACTCCGATGCCATCAAGGCATCGTCGTGAAATAAAAGAGTGCGTCGCTCCAGTATCGAATAAAGCAAACACATGAACATTATTTAACATGATCATCCCTGACATAGTACCTGGCTGCTGCTCGGCCTCGACCTGATCGACTGCGTAAACTCGGGCCTGCTGTCTGCCCCTCTGCTGCTGCTGCTGTGGTGGCCTCTGAGCCTGTTGACGGGGCTGCTGCTGCTGCTGCTGTGGCTGCTGAGGCTGCTGGGGCTGTTGGGCCTTCTCCGGACAATGGCTAGCAAAGTGTCCGGGCTCATGACAGTAATAGCATATATCCTGGCTGAAGCGACACTCTTCGCGGTGAAGTCGTCCGCAGGTGGGGCACTGTGGAATCTGTTGTAGCCTCCGTCGAGTCCTCTTGTCCATCGGGGCACCTTTCCCCTTCCTCTTGTTGTTCTTCGGTGGCTAGGCAGCTGGTAGGGCTGGTGGAGCTGTGGATGACTGGGCTGGGGCGGATGGCTGAGAACGATCACGAATGGCCTCCCTCCTGATGCTGGCGTCCACCTACCTGGGCGATCGAAACAGCACGAGCATACGTTTGGGTCCCGTGACCTACAATGTTGTGACGGACTGCTGGGTAAATGTAACGCCCCGTTTGATTATGAATTATTGGAGATTATTATTATTATTATTATTATTATTATTATTATTATTATTATTATTATTATTATTATTATTATTATTATTATTATTATAATAATAATATTAATTGTTCTTTTTGTCTAATTGTCTAAATTGATTTTATTATTATTAGTATTAATATTTATATTAAATGTCTAAATTGCCTAATTGTTATTATGTGTTTAAATGTTTAATTATTAATAAATATTAATGTGTGATATATTTATATTCGCCAATATGTTTTATTTAGCGGATCGTCGTTAGCTATTTTAAGTCCGATTTTTCTAAATGGCATTATTAGTTGCATATGTTCGGCCCAATAAGTGTGTTGTTCGGCCCATTAAGATTCTTTAGAGGATCCTATTTTCAGCCCAATATATCTATCTCTCTCTCTCTCTCGATCCAGCAATAGCAGAACTAAGAATCCCTTTTCTTCTTCAATCGGCACGCCCCATCGCCGCTTTCAACCCTCTCCCATCTCTCGATCTCGGTCGCGTGAAGAAAAGAAAAAGAGAGAAACGGATCGCTGCTCATCTCGGTGACCCTATCTCTTGCTGTTCCGTCGTAGAAACCGCGTTCAGTGCCATCACCGTCGACTTCGGCCGACCACCAGCCACCTTGAGGACCTGCGGTAATCACCCTCGTCAACCAGCGCCACCACCATCGCTTTTCTCCATCCACCATCACCGATCATCATCACCTCCGTTCACCCTGTGAACTAGATTCCGGCGAGCCTTCTCCGCCACGCAACAGTAGTCCAGCGAGCCGTGAACCACCGATCACCGCCGCAGCCTCGCCGCGCCGCGACGCCACCACGGCGAGCCCCGACGACGCAACTCCTCCCATGTTCGTGATCCTTGCCGCGACCTTGCAACTCCAGTGAGCCGTCGTGAGTCCCTTTTCGCGTGACCTGATTGCCGTCCGCGTGTTCCATCGTCGCTGCTTGAGCAAGCCACCTGCAGCACCTCCGCGATCAGCTTTCCGGCGTGAACCGACAACCCCGACCTCCCGCTGCTGTCACGCGTGAAGTCCCAACGACCCGACGTGCGCTACCCGCGAGCTGAACACCGTTCCCGCTGTTCGTGCTTTGTCGTGCGTCTTCCCTTGATGTCCATCGTTGTCGGGACCTGCTCATCGTTGCCCGCCCCCCCGCTGATCACCCGCACGACTCTAGAGCGAGCCGAAGCTTAGCCGTCGAGCCCCTTCGGTGCATTCGTGAAGCCGTTTCAGCCCCGTTTTGATTCTTTCATTCGAACGTTCCCGAGAACGGTACCTAGGCTCGAATCCGTTTCCTTTGATGTCGTGATTTATGTCATTGTGTTATAATATGTGCTAAATTGCTGAACGTATGAATTATGAGTTCATTACGTGCCTTGGGTATTATTATCTAGCCATATTATGAGTTTATATGCGGTTTGGATATCAAAGTGATTGTCGTCACTTTGATTTATTATCGAACTGAGTTTCGAGTAGTATTTTTTCGTGGAAATCCTGGAGTTATAGGTACTTGGAGTTGTCCTTGACTTATTGGTTTTGGTTTGAGGTCGTTTCGATGTTTATATCATGAGTTACGATTTTTGCAAACCGAGCATGCTGCTGAACCTTGGAAAAATTACTAAAAATCGTGTAGTTGTGTGTTTGAGCTGAATATTTGATATGTTGTACCTCTATGGATGTTACATGATTGTGCAAAGTCCCTGAATTAATCTCGGAGTTTAACTTATCGAATTGCTAAAAATGAGTTTCGGTCAGGATCTTGTAAAAATCATATAAATCGAATACTTGGATTTTTGAGCTGAAATTATGAGGGCAATGTTGTTTTGGCATTGTATCTGTTGTGTCAAAATTTCAAGTCGAAATTCAAAGTATAGCTGCTTAAACTCTAAACTTCGGCTTTTGGTGCTGTTTTTGTTTAAATTATTTGAAAATGCTCCGAGATGAATTAAGGGCTGAAACATGGTGCAAATATGTGATTTTATGTTCTCTATAATGTGGTAAATTTTCAGCTTATTATCCTGAGTATAACTCCTAAACCATTGGTAGGTTCATTTTGTAGCCTTTGTAGTCGTTTTTTCCGAACTATTTAATTTTCCTGTCAACCCAATATATGTTTTGCATGTTATCTGTGATCTTTTTGGATTTATTGAGATGTTTTGGGTCTAGTAGTCAACTCCAAGTACTTAACTCTGTTAAGAAATCTACGAGTCACTTAGTCGATATGGTTCGGCTAAGTATGTGTTGCTTCGTGTGTTGTTTTGTGCTGTATAGTGTGTTGATAGGACTATCGTAATTGTTGTAGGTTCATCGAGGTGAACTTTTGCCATTGTTCCTTCAACCCTGTGTTTGGCTATATCTCGGTATCCAGGTGGATCTTATTTAAATTGCTATGTCGTAAATAATTTATTTGTTGTTGGGTTGGTATGATCACTGTTTGAATGTGAATTTGTGTAACCTTCGTTGTGAGCTGTATGTCCTTCGAACGGTTGTCCCCGTCGTTGAGAGCTGTATGTCCTTCGACGATGCCCTTGTGTGGCAATCTCCCTAAGTCCTAATGATAGGCCATACCGTTGAGAGTTGTATGTCCTTCGGTATGCACTCCCATTGTTGAGAGATGTATGTCCTTCAATGGCTAATGATAGATGTGCACATGAGTGAGGTTATTGGTGTATTGATTGGAGATGTGACATGATGAATTAATTTATGATCATGCTGTGACCATACCCTTACTATATTATGTTGTTATTTACGTGCATAGTGGTGAGCACAACAGTTCGTCGTGCTCACTCTCACCTGCTCTTCATTGATGCAGGTTAAGCAGGTGTTGGCTGACGAGACAGAGACGAGTGGTGTTGGTCTTTGACTGACTTCATTTAGTTTATTTCGCTTGCTAGTAGACTTGGATTTATTTATGCTTATTTATGACTTTGGAATCTTTGGAACTTTAGATTGGGAGATGTTCCCTTATGAACAATTTGGATGACCTTGGGATTCATAAAACTACTGGATTTATGATTTATGATTTATGCAAGTATGATTTATGTTATTATGTGATTTAGTTAGAGTAGCGCCCTTGATTTATGAAAAGGTTTTAAAAAATTTTAAGTTGACTTTCTGAAAAGTCCTTGACTTTTTGTCAAATAAAAGTGGGGCGTTACAGTAAAGCCCGTCAATGAAGCGTTGTGCCCTCTGTGCCTCCGTACGAACCAAGTTAGGAACGAAAGCTGCAAGTCTGGTAAATTCTCTCTCGTACTCGTCAACAGAACGAGTACCCTGTTTGAGCGACAGGAACTGCCTCTCCATCTCTGCTCTGTAATAGGTGGGGTAGTACTTCTCGCGGATCAGCTCCTTGAGCCTATCCCATGTACATCCCTCTTTCTCGTCGGGACGCATGCTCCAGTAGGCATTCCACCAGAGTCGGGCATCGCCGGTTAACTGAAGCTGAGCGCAGATAACACGATATCTGTCTGGACAATCCATGACCTCGAAGATCAACTCAAGGCCCTGAATCCACTTGTCCACGATACGGGGATCTCCCTGTCCGGAGAATTTCTCAGCATGATAGTCGCGAAACTATGCGACCATCGTGGCCTGAGGAAGAACCGGGTAATCGGGTTCCCTACGGGGCGACATCTGATCATTGGAAAAGTTTAAAATTATTGAACACATGAAAAATATTCTGACTGATTTCTAAAGTACACAGATCTCTTGATGAGTTGCCAAAAATGGCTGTAAATTACTGATATAGATCCTAAAGACGTCTAGAGTTATATCTGAGTACACTGAGTTCTAAAGTCTGATCCTGATTCGAGCATCTTAACTAAGTCCTGATTAACAATTTCTGAGCATAGACAATAGTAATATGTTTATAATAGAAAACATAAATCAGCACTTACCTGTAGTCGGCGAGGAGTGAGTTTGACGGTTCAGGTTTTTCTGAAAATTTCTGACTTATAAAACTTTTCAGAGACGCAGAAATGTGCTCTGATACCAATTGTAACACCTCACTATTTTAATAATATCAGAGTACACATTTTCGCAAATTTTCTGAATAATTTAATAAAATATTTATTTCGCGAAAACTGATTCGGGGTGCTACCGTGAAAAATCTGACTGGAAAACCGTTAATTTTAAACTGATAATAAAAACGGTTATATAATATTTTAACCGACTAGTGTCGGACCAAAAACTGAGTTTAAGTATTGAAAGTTTTAGCGGAACTGTAGCGTGGCCAAAACATAGTTTATACATTACAAAACAAATATCCTGAACAGCACGCCAGCTCACTCCTAGTCCCCGACTCTGTGACCTGAAAAACATGAAATACGTGGGGGCGTGAGCACTAAAACACTGTGCTCCGCAGAAACTCATACTAAAGTAAAACAATGAATATAATAACAATATCATGATCCTGGCATGTATAACTGAACTGAAACTGAAACTGATAACTGATATCTGATACCGGTACTGAATAATCTGATACTGATCTCGTGACATATGTACCTGTCTGAAACTGAACATCTGCCGGCACAAACTAATACCGAACACCATGTGCACACTCTAGTGGGCAGATTAGGGCCACTAGAACCCAGAATGGACCGGCGACCATTCCGAGCGGATACTGATAATACATACCTCAAACATAGTAGCGTAATTATAATCAATGTAGTACTTAGTCTGAGTCCCCACCTGATCCGCGAAACTGAAGGTAGTGTTGATGCCTGATCAAACTGAAAAATAATATAAACAATTACTAAGGACTATGCTCAGACTGATAAATTAACTGATTAATTATGTTAAGATGCTCTACTAGACTCAATATGATATTCGGACTTAATCGGTATAACTGGAACCGGTTAAATACGAAACTGAACTGATATAACTTACTGAACTGAACTGGACCCGGAATTTTAACTGAAAATGGGGCTAACATGAACTGGGACTAACACATAAAAATAGGGGCTGAACCGGTCTGGACCGGACCGCCGGTCTGCTGAACTGGACGGTCGGGCGCTGACTTGGC